TTTATTCATTTAGAATGTTATTTAGAGTGCGCTTAGTAAAAGAGCATTGGTAATATAAAATATGAAGGTTGTTTAATAAACTTTTAGAGCCTTTTAAATTTATATATGCTATATTGATATCATATGAAAGCTCGTAAAAAATTATGATTTTTGATATTTTTTTTATAAAAATTAGATAAACGGTTAAAAAGTTATAATACTTTAAAGAAAATGGTGGTTTTTTATACATTGGGGCCCACTTACTTGATGCCACGTTTTTTGAGAGTATATAGCAACATCCCTTTGGTGTTTATATTGCCGCATTTATCCTTGAAATTGCCACATGGCAATTGTGTGATAGAAGAGTGAATTGTGGGGAGAATGACACCTAAATTATTTTAAGGATAGAATTGTCTTTTAAGGAGCTATTTCTTTTCTTATATATAAATAGAAGTGCAAAAGTAGAACCTGATAGTTACGTAGGAGTAAAAAGACAAGGCTTAGACCAGTTTGCCCTTAATGAATCGTCCAGCTCTTTATTACTCAACCAATTTGGTACTCCGTATTAATTTAAAGCAGAGTAATAATAAAATACAATGAATACAACTCAACCAACACAATCCTAGACATGATGACCATCTTCGACAACGAACTTCCAATTCTCTGCCACCGGTCACCGGCGGGCACCTTATCCGCCGCCGCCCCTATCGCCGCCGCCGGTGGCTCTTCCACCACCGTTCGCCACCTCTGCCACCACCATCGCCGCATCTCCCGCCGCCGCCGTCATAATTTGCTTTGCCGCCAAGCTTTCTATCCTCATCTCTTCCACCATGGCAGCTGCCGCCACCTCTTCTGGCAAGCCAGTTGCGGATCTCCGCCAAGAACATCAAATCTTATGACACCAGCATATTTGTTTTCTATAATGGTATTGACATATTTTGACACTTTAACATCCAAAACATGACATTTTTGAATTAAATATTATGGCATTTTCAGATAAAAATCATGGCATTCATAGACAAAATGATGGCATTATTTGCTCAACGAGTAAACAAAATGGCAATAGAGCATACTTTCAATAACAAAATGATAAAGTTAGTGCCATAAATATGGTAGTACTTGCCCAACAAGTATACTTCCAATAACAAAAAAAAATGTCGTTTTGTGATTTTAAATGATTAGAAAATGTACTTTTATGTTTAAAAAAATCGGAATAAATAGAAATTTTTTGAAGCCAACAAGCTTCCAATCATCATTGTCCGGACCTCTAAATTCATATTCAAAAATTCTAGATCTAAAGTGTAATGATTTAATTTAGAATCTGGAAAGTCGAACAAACTAACTAATGAGAAATAAATAAAAATAAATAGAACAAAACAGAGCACATATAGAGTAATAATATTATAAAGGCAATGATATTATTGTGAAATTAACTTTCAATAGATGATATTTTCGTGATGGAAACCCAATGAGAGAACCCTTGCATGACGGATTATGATTGTCCAATTTTAAGGGAGCCATATATAAAGTATCCAAGGGTGCAGGTTGTTTGGCCCTATTCTCAATTGCAGATGCGAGTTAGGAAGCACCATACTTGGTCAACGTCGGCTCCAAGAGTGGTAAAATCATGGGTGTGGGGCCGAATAAAGATGTAATTGACAGAGAAGCCATGTAGACACTGTTAGAGCAAGAATTTGACGGTTTATGTTGCATTAAAGAGGGTTGATCACAGAAGTTAATGAGGTTTAATGATGGCTGTTGTAACGGATTTGTATTTATTATTGTAGTTAGTAACGATATTAAGGCAAGAAGTTACTTATTTTGAGCTGGCTAGCATTAATGACGAGTTGTAAAACCGTCGGGTCGAAACTGTCAAGTCAAACCGCCAATAACGGACAATTGGAGTGATGAAGCGTCCAAGAATCTCAATTTAAATTTTGTAACGTTTTATGTACATTATTAGGCTCTTTAATATGATTAAGGAAGGTATTAAGTGTAGTTGACCTGCCTTTATGACAGATTTGAATTCGTCATAAAGTACGGCCAACCCGTCAGTAACATACAAAGCCATCATGAGAGCATTAATTACCCTTCTTATAAATAGGATATTCCCCATTGTAATCAAGGGCAACTCACATTCGAATAATACACAAGTTTTCACTCTTATTCACTCTCTTGTCATCTTCTTCTTTACTCTTGTTCGAAGGTCTTTCTTCATTTAAATTCCTTTTTAATTAGTTTTAGCTTATCAATATTTTGCTTAAACAAGCTACTAAATATTTAGTTGGGTCATCATAATAATAATAGAAGCCCAATAAAATGCCAACTAAAGTTGAGGGAAATGATTGGCCAAACCGAGTGCTATTTTGACCCAACCTGCCAGAAATAACAATAATAATTGGGAGGAACTTCTTACACCACACGGGATGCATGTCAACGTCCTCCTGCCTATATTGATATACGGCCTATGGACCTATGGTTTTCCATGGTATTAAAAAACCAAAATACCAAGTATATATCCAAGAGTGAGCCAGGCGGCAGAGAAAGTGTACGAGATGGATGAAGGAGCCAGGCGGGATGGCTAAGTGGGTCACATTGACCACCTGTTGGCCGAATCGGACTCGAATTCGGCCAACAAGTTAATTTGCTACCTTGGTTACCGCCTTCACACACATGTAATTATCCAACCACATCTTTCTTTTCTTATCTACAGGTCATGTTAACGTGTATCTTCTTCTAGCTCGATCTCCAACCCTATTGAACTTTTCTTAAGGTTTCATGCCTCTATTTCGGTAAATGAGTTTTGTTTAATTTATGAAGTGAGAATGAGGTTTATAATATAATTAATACGGACTGAAAGAGTAATAATAGTCAAACACAAAGCGGGCCAACAATTGCTCCATAGACCGATGACAAACGTCTTTACTCTTAATCGATTTAATATGGGAAAAGGTGCAAATAGGCCCATGTACTAACCAAAAAAGGTCAAATAAGCCCTTATTTAGGAGGCTCTGTCCGGCCGTCGCCATTTGGGGTGGTTCCCGGTGAAATATTTTGATGAAATTTTTTGAGCATCTTATTCATCAAGTCTAGTTTACTCATACCAAATTTCAGCTAAAACTTCAATCGGGAAGGCATTCAAATAAATTCTTCAAAATAACTGCGCAGTTAGAAGCGCATTTATCTTCAAGAATTCATTTGAATGCCTTCCCGATTGAAGTTTTAGCCAAAATTTGGTATGAGTAAACTAGACTTGATGAACAAGATGCTCAAAAAAATTAATCAAAAAATTCCACCAGGAACCACCCCAAATGACGACGGCCGGACAGAGCCTCCTAAATAAGGGCTTATTTGACCTTTTTTGGTTAGTACATGGGCCTATTTGCACCTTTTCCCATTTAATATTTTCATAATTTTTTATTTGTGATATCCAGTGCATTGGATTATTGGATATATAAGTACTCCGTATTTATTTGCTCATACGCAGAGTAAAACAAAAGAATAGATCGATTAATTAATACGTAGTAATCTATAGATATATGAACGGAGAATTACAAACGACTATCCTTCTTAAACAATGCCGGGGTTTGATGTCTTGGGCAGTGTGTGCACTCTTGAAAATGACATGACATTCAGCTTTAATAATTTTTTGGCTTCTTTCAATTTTTCAGATGATGCTTATTTATTCTCCGTCCCTTCTACGCAGTATAAAACAGTAAACATAGTCCTTACTTTTGAATTGGATCAAATTTAAAAAAGTGAGAATTAAGTGAAAATATATGATTATGATTTAATATGCTTGGACTCGGGTCGGGCCTTGGCCCGGCGGGCTTTTGAAGGTTGGGGTGAAGACCCGAGACCGGCCCGGGTTACCACCGGTTGTATTTTTTTTTTTCATCCACTACCCCCATCCCCCCATCCCCCAAACCCATCGGAAACACCCAGCCCATCTAAACCCAGCCCAAACAAAAAAATTTAAAAAAAAATTAATAAAATGGCCCGAATCGGGCCCGGAACCGGCCGGGACCTTTCCCTAAGCCCGTACCCGGTTTCCTGGGCCGGGCCCAAACAGTGTCGGGCCGGTCCGGTTCCCGGGCCGGGTGGCCCAAACCGGGTCCAAGCCTATGATTTAATAAGGAAAAAGTAAATAAATATAGTTACACAAAACTTTATCAAAAGGTAAATTGACAAAAAAAATTGGGACATCCCAAAAAGGAAAAATAGGTAAAAATTTAAGGGGAGGAGGGAGTATATTATTATTATTATTACCACTACTAATACTACTGTCACACTTTATTTGTTCTAATTTGATTTGACACAATTATTAATAAGATATTATTTTCGTCCACTTACATTGTGATATGAGAAGGTGACGCGAGTAGTAAGAAGTGTATGTTTATGTAGTTGATATTGATATGATAGAGTATGAATATAAAATAATGATTTAGAATCAAACAAATTTTATCAAATTTGATATGACACAATTTTAGTGTGAAAGATCGAAAATGTATGATGAGACAATCTTAATAGAAGGAAGTGAGTAGTTGAAAAAATAAATGTTATGGTTGTAATTTTAATATAATAAAGTACTCCCTTCTTAACTTTAAAATCTCCTCATTTCAAAAGTAGGTAGATTAAGAATAGTGCAAGAGGATATAAATTATTGAGGATATGATGGGAAGATGGTGGAATAGTGTGATGGAAGTAAGGATAAATCTGAAAAAAGTAGTTGGAATAATGTATTATTTTCAAAATTATTAAGGGTATGATGAGAAGATTTAAAAATGAGATTTTTTTTGTTACGGACGAAAAAAGAAAGTGAGAAGATTTTTAAGTTATAGAGGGAGTAAAATGTTGTAGGTCACACATTTCTTTATAAAAAATTGTGTACTTATTTTGGGGCAACCCAAATAGAAAAGTAAGACATGTAAAATTAGACGAAGAGAACATTATTATTATTATTATTATTATTGCTATCATCATCATTATTGTTATTATTTAGGTTATTACTCTATGTTAACATTTAATTGTTTTTGGCAAATAATTTTGTTGTAATTATATAGGTTGTGATCTATAACATAAATAATTAGTGTTGGGATATATTATCCCGGCCTATTACTGTTCATGAGCCCAAGACATTACTCACTACGGAGCCCGAGCAGCTAGACCCATTTCGGCCCATCCGGCCCACTTTAGCCATTTCGGCCCGCTTCGGCCCACGCGGCCCGTTAGGGTGGAGAGCATCCCCTCCCCCTATTCTCTATAAATATGGGAGCTTCCCTCCATATTATGGGCCCTTTTTAGCTCTCCTTCCTCCTTTCTTTTAGACTTAGCTCAAATACCCCATGAATGGGAGCTTGTACAATGTAATGGTGAGGAGAGTCCTAATGAGAATTGAGAGGGCTTGGACATTAGCCTAAAAAGTCCCGTGGTTTTCTCCCTTTCGGGTTTTCACGTAAAAACTGAGTTGTTCATACACATTTATACATATATTTACTATATCGTGTTGGATTAAACTCAACACTGGCGCCGTCTGTGGGAAACTGTCCAAAAAGATTCATGTGTTTCTACTGTTCTTGAGTTTTCTACAAAAAAAAAATCCATACGAAAAGCTACTGGCTTCGGCTTGATTTGCCACAAAAGAGATACAGAAAATGGACTGATTTTCAACAAGGGAAGAAAGAGGAAAAAGATTCTGAGGAAGGGAAGAAGAAGCTAGGAAGCTACGAAAATCTGGAAAGCCAAATATGAATTTTTTCCAGATCTATTTTTGAGGTCACCGGAGCCGTCGCAACCATCCCCGCCGCGGTGGACCTCCGGTGAAGTCAGTTGCGCCAGACGAAGCTCGCTGCAGCACCCCAGCTGTTTCAGGCGGCCACCACCTCAGTCGCACACCACCGCTCGTCATCAGCGACATGGAGCTGACGCAACCTGAAGGAAATTCCGCCATTAATGGCGGCTTGAAGCTTAGGGAAGGTACACCTCGAAGCTCTGCCGGACCCACCTGGCCCGGCCTCGGTCGCTGCCCTTGCGCCGCGGCAACCGCCCGTACCGCCGTCGATGAGGGCTCACGCAGTTGGCCTCGGGTCGGTGGATGGATGCTTCAGCTAGCTTCCCAAAAGATACGAAGTACAGCATATGGATCAGATGCCTTGGTTCTCCAAAGGCCACGTCCACTGGAGGAATGGTGGCAGACGGATAAGTTTGAGCACCTTGACCAAGTCAAATAGCAAAGGAACCAAATTAAGTTGAGGAACTCACTGGCCGGAGGTCTATACCAAAGGCTTGGAGCATTAGTTTGAGAAATCAATAGTTGGAGTACTTTTGACCAAAGTCAAAATCAATGGAAGGGAGCAAATCTGGCTCTAGAATCCCTCCTGACCGAAGCTTTATCTCCAAAGCTAAGTACATATACATACTCTTAAGTTGGTGCATTAATAGTTAATTGTTTAAAATATTAGTATTGCTAGTATTTTTATCACCATTATTTATTATGGGATTAAAATATCCCAGAATTAAATAGTGTGAGCGATGCTCTAAGTGATAATTAATTTCACCGTCATTTTAATTAATGATGGGTTGTGGTGGGCCCGTTGGCCCGCTCCTGATCGGCTTAAATTAGCAGGCGGAGAATACCGGAATGGCTTTTGATAGGAAAGTATCATTACTATTACCCGTTACGTCACTATTATTTATTAGGGATAAAAATGTCCCGAATTAAATAATGTGGAGCGAAGCTCTGGTGATGTTTGGTTCAGCCAACATTTATTGAATATTTAATTTCTTGTGGGCCTGTTGGCCCACCCTCGATCAGCTTGATTAAGTGATCCGAGCGTCTCCAGAAGGGCGATGCCCCGACGACGCGTTTGAATTTGAGGGTTGCGCATTAGTCCGCACGGCACTACGTGCCCGATCGACGATCGTACCCCAGTGTCATTTACGCCATTAGGCGTGAAATGATTATTGCCAAACGTGGCCTGTGGGGCCCGAAGGCACCAAAGCACCCAACCTCCTTTTTCTGAGGGCAGTGCGACCAACTTGGGTCTGAGTTTGAAAACTCACGGACCGATGAATATCTCTATGTGACGTTCGGCGGGCTGCTAATTGGCCCCGCCGCGAGCTGCTACGTCCATTAACCCCGCACGATGAGCCGGGCCGAGGGTCACGATGACCCATAGACCGGTAATCGTGGGTGTTAGAAAGAAAACCATGCAGATGGTTATGTGTGTATACATATTGTCGGGTCGTGCGGCCCGTTACCATGCTTATTGCGCAGCTGAAGCCGCTCGACGCGCTCGAGTGAAATGATTAGAAGACGCTCGGCCCGAGTCTTGAAGACGTGCAGGGCCGGCCAAAGAGGAGACCATCACGGCTGAGGCACCCCCCTTCCCGACGTGGGGTCCGTTTTCTCGAGCATCTCCACCTAGAGGCCGAGGGCCTAGAGGAGACCACCACGGTTGAGAGCAGTGGGACGAGCATCTCCACCCCAGAGACCGATGGCCTAGGAAGAACACCTAGAGGCCGAGGTCTAGAGGCGAATGCCATGACAGAGAACCGTGAGACGACCACCCGTCATTCAGAGGCCGAGGGCCTAGAAGAGATCGTCACGGCCGAGGGCCGTCTGACGCCATCATTACATCATGACCGGCCTCTCGGCACGGCATGATTATCTTATTTGAAGACCGGCCTCGTCCCCCGCACTGCGCGGACGAGGACCGTTGCTTGATTTCAGATCGGCCTCTCATTGCCGACATCATTACATCATGACCGGCCTCTCGGCACGGCATGATTATTTTATTTGAAGACCGGGCTCATCCCCGCGATGCGCGGATGACGGCCGTTGCTTGTTTTCTCAGATCGGCCTCTCATTGCCGACACCGTTATATCACGACCGGCCTCCCGGCTCGGCGTGCTTTCCATATTTGAAGACCGGTTTCATCCCCGCTCCTCGCGGATGACGGCCGTTGCTTGTTTTCTCAGACTGGTCTCTCATTACCGATGTTATTATATCACGATCGGCCTCTCACTGCCGACGCTATCATGTTATGTTCGGCCTCTCGGCACGACATATTTATCTTTTGAAGACCGGTTTCATCCCCGCGCTGCGTTGGATGAGAGCCGTTGCTCGGATATATCGGCCTGACCGGACACTATTGTCATCTCCATTATCAGGACCGACTGCTCAGCGACATTATGATCATTGTATATCGGCTCCCAATGCCGACCTTCTTGAGTTAGCGATCGGGCTCACCCCTCCCTTCACGAGGGTGACCATCGCCTTCGCATGACATTATGTGTGACATCACTTGTGGTTATTCTTGGAACCGACGAACGTATTTTCCTCCCTCAAAAAAAAAAAAAGAAAAAAAAAGATGGGGAGAAGGGGAGACGAGATCCTATGAGAGAGGGAGTCTTGACGAGGTATGCCTGATCTTCCTTCGCCGCGTATGACGAACGTCTCCCGACGCGGAGGCTAGTAGGAACGTGGGGGGGGCTAGACGTACCAAAGGGAACCTCGGCAAGATAAACCAGTTCCTCCCATGACCCGTGGTTCGATGAACACCTTCTGCCAAAGCAGAAGGCTAGTAGGGCCACGAGCATGGGACGACGAAGCAGGGAATCCCGACGTGGATAAACATGTTCCTCCTTGCGATCGTTGGATGACCGAACGTCTTCTTCGAAGTAAGAAGATTAGTAGGACCACGACAGGGACGAACGAAGAATAGGGAATCCCGACGTGGATAAACCTGTTCCTCCTTGCAATCGTTGGATGACCGAACGTCTTCTTCGAAGTAAGAAGATTAGTAGGACCACGACAGGGACGAACGAAGAATTGGGAATCCCGACGTGGATAAACCTGTTTCTTCTCATAGTTGGGATGACGAACGTCTCCTGCGAAACCAGGAGACCAGTACTCACGAGACTTGGGAAGAACAAAGATCGAGTTCTTTACCGGAGTCTGATTGCGTGCCGAGTGTACACCGCTTAGCGGTCCGTACATAGGACCACGGATACGGTAGACGAACGAAGACCAACCCCATGGGTCAGACAGGAGGGACCAGTTCCTTATCGGAGTCTGTTGTGTGCCGAGTGTACACCGCTTAGCGGTCCGTACATAGGACCACGGATACGGTAGACGAACGAAGACCAGCTCCCCAGCTCAGACAGGAGGGACATTGCCCAGATTTATTTCAGGCTCACCATTCCTTCCCGGATGGAGTCCTGGCAGACGAACGGCTTCTCACAGCCAATCATCATAGAGACTTGACACATCACCAGCACGGCCGAGGGCCGTGAGACGATTATCACTCACCGACAGGCCAAGGGCCATGAGATGATCATCACTATTCTTATGCAGTACGATCGGCCCCTCAGCGCCATCGTACCCAGCTCGGAGTTCAGCTCGTCCATCCCTTCCAGGGTGGCGACGAACGTCTGATGCATCACGATCGGCCCCTTAGCGCCATCGTGTCCAGATTCGCGGTTCGGCTCGCCCACTCCCTCCAGGATGGCGACGACCGTCTTATGCAGTACGATCGGCCCCTCAGCGCCATCGTACCCAGCTCACGTTCAGCTCGTCCATCCCTTCCAGGGTGGCGACGAACGTCTTATGCATCACGATCGGCCCCTCAGCGCCATCGTGTCCTGATTCACGGTTCGGATCGCCCATTCCCTCCAGGATGGCGACGACCGTCTTATGCAGTACGATCGGCCCCTCAGCGCCATCGTACCCAGCTCACGTTCAGTGACCGGGCTGAACTTGCAAGTATACAAGTGCCGATATAGTAATAAAATACCGGTAAATACCGGGTCGATCCACAGGGAAATGGTTGTTATTATAAAGTCGAATATTGAATGCAAGGAATGTAAATGATATATTTTTTTTCAGGAACTTTGCTCTTTGAGATTGGTTTAAACAAGAATGAGAATTACTAAGGCAATCGGGATTCACCTAAATGCTTTAATAGTTATTTAATAATAGTTCTTCTCCAATAATTATGAATACGATGTCGCTAATATATTCTCAACTCCGGTTAAGGCAGCGAGAGCGTGGTTTTCGTTACGTGTAAGTCCCATTACGGCTCACATTCATCTACCGAAAACCCCGTTGAATATCAAGACATCACACCCGTATCATATAAGACCGGATATATTTCTATTCTCGGTGCTATATATGTTTATCCTTTAGTGTTCATAGTTTAGACTTCAACGTTAATTGCAAGCATAAACTAAATTTAACATACTTCTATGTTGTACACCATAGTCATAAACAATCAAAATATAAAGGATAAATCACAATTTATTGGTTTAGAACTTTTATCAAACATCTAGTGTGCATAGAGGTTCATCCCTAGCCTTAGCTAAGAAATTAGCCTCTAATGCTCATATTAATCACAATACAATATTGAAATGTAATGGAACATGAAATTACAAAGGAAATAATACCTAAACACCAATGATTTCGGAGGTTGAAGTTTCCTCCTCAAGAACTTGAAGAAAATACCAAGAACAAAAATATAAAAGCTATGATTTAATCTATGGAATGGGATGTCATTGCTTGATGAATTAAGGGCTTTATATAGGCTAAAGAATGGCATCTTTTAGTCTATTCAAGCCTAACAATCGGGTATGGAAGCAATATTTGATCAGATATGGAGGAAGATGGGTTTTTCCCATCAGAAATCTTCTGCACGTCGGACTGTTTTAGCAAAAAATCGGAACAACCGGCGCCGGTTATAGCATGTCCGGCGCCGGTTGGTTGCAAAAATGCCCCGGTTGTGCTGCGCCGGTTGGAAACAGGCCCGATTTGGGCAAAAAAATCCTGACGACCGGCGCCGGTCCTAGCGCCCAAACTTGTACTTTGCTTCTTTTCTTCGTTTGATGCCCGAAAATTGATCCCGAAGTGCCGGTTTTCGATCCCTTTTGATTTTTAACCCTATTTTCATTGCTCCATGTCGTATTTCATGTTTCCGCTAACTCGAGAATATTTATCTGTTTCTGCTTCACATTTTTGTACAGATAAATGTAATTACTTTTGTAAAACATAAGTAATTATTGTGCTTATCAAATTCCCCCACACTTGAGCGTTGCTAGTCCTCGAGCAATGTTGTCGCCTTTTGATGCCTTGGTTAGTTCAACAAAAATATATGCACAAAATAAATTTTTAAAAGAGAGGTAAAAAAAATGTTTGTAAACTCCTTTTTTCGTTCTCGGTCCAAAACCCATTTTTCTATTAAACACAAAAAATATCATTAGATTTAGAAAAATTACTTATACTCTTGAGAGGAGATGAATGGATTGTGACTAGGATTTTTTTGGGGGTGTAGGATGGCTCTTTGGTGTATTTGACTTTTCAGTATAGAAGTGGATCAGTTGAAACTCTTGAAAGAGATCATGAGTTTTTTTTTTTTTTTTTTTTAACTCATTTGAATTGGTTCTCAACAAGCATCTACTGAAAGTTATTTTGATCATCCCAATTTATTTGATGAGATATGAGGGTGGCTTGTTTTCCACAATGGTTCTTGAATATTTGAGATGTACTTAAACCATTGTTGGAAATGAAAGAAGATGGTGTTCCTAATCACAAGAGTTCTTTTGGAAGTGGTTTTCAAGAGTAAAAGGTAGTGTAAAAAAATCCAAAAAAAATGATATTTTTATGTGAATAATAAAAAAAAACTTTCTCAACCAAATACCCATTAAAAGGAGAAATAACATCATTTTTTTTCTTCCCTAAAAAAAAAATATTTTGCACACAAAATTTTGTTTAGCTACCCTTGAGATGCACCCCCCACACTTAAGATACATTGTCCCAATGTATAAATCATAGGAGCATAAAACTTCAATCACCATCCACAAAGCATGTGTTTAGAGAAGAGTATGTCATATGAAATAACAAGAATGAGAGTTTAATTTTGTGGATCGGGAGGGGGGTGTCCAAATTGACCATAGTAGTGTTGGGTGAATTGCCCAAACCTTCGGTCAATGCGGTCCAAATGCTCTTCCATCCTGGTTTGACGGGTACGGAGGTCCTCTTGGTTAGCCTCGTACAAGTTCATCCTCGTATGCATACGGTCCATGGAGTCAACAATATAATCAATGCCCTGTGCCATGGTTCGCCGTGGTCGGGCTGCGGGTTGTGCGGCAGCTTCTCCCATCTCTTCGTCGCCGTTCTCTTCCTTGCGAACCCATGCATCCCCCACCTTTTTGAACTGGAGGGACACCATAGTGCTTGGCCTCAAAATTTGGGCTGCGGCGGTGTACTCCACTTCTTCATTACTAAGATCGACGCCAAAACTCCTGAAAATCATCGTGAGTAAAAGAGGATAAATAAAGTTTTTATCACCTCTTTTAGTTTTGACGACGCCCCTCATTTCAGTCATGATGAGAGGGGCCAAAGGAATGCCCTCGATTTCTCCAAGTCCGTTCATCATTTTGTGCATGAGGTAGAGGTCCAACCGCCGAAGCACATGCGTGTCACTAGCTCGTGGCAAGATGTTGAAACTCAAAAGGTATGCAATTAGTCTCTCTCGGGGTTCAAGAACACGGGCCTTAAGCTCCTCATCGAAACCATAGTCGTTCATGACATCAATCTCGTTGTAGGCGGGGTCGGTGAGCACCACTACAAAGTTCATTTCAACCGGACGACCAACGTTGGGGATACGAAGCAAGTTGCACAATCTTTGTTTGCTAATGGTGATTTTTGTGCCTTTAACCGTGCTCACAATATCCCCATACAGGTCCATTTTCCTCTCAATATTGGCATAGAACTCCCGTACAAGCGTCGGGTAGAATGCCCCAGTCAGAGTGAGCATGACGGCCCATCCCAATTTGTTAAAAGCGTCGGAGAGTTGGTAGAGAGCTTCGATCTCCGGGTGCACGGTCTTTTCAATCACAATTTTCCACTTCTTCCTTTGATCATACCAAGCCTCATTCTCCGGGGAGGTGAAACGTGGTACGGATGAAGAGGAAGAAGTAGCATCATTTCGTCGTTTAGGAGCCATGGAACCTGCACAATTAGTTCAACACATGCATGCAGCACAATATTCTTCATCAATCCAAGGTAAGGTTTCAAAAAGTTCTTTAATTTCTTCAAATTTCATGTTCATTCAAGGATTCTTGCAACAATCATGTTAAGAGGATTCTATATCAACAACAAGTCGTATCAATATATCTCTAAACATCAATTATAAAAGGAATTCACCCAAGAACAAGAATTTCAACATTAGGGTTCTTGGGAAAATTTTTCAAGAATTTTCCCCAAATTTGAACTTTAATCTCACAAACTTGAACAAGAATCATGTTTATATATACCAAATGAGTTCAAGGAACAATCATTCAACACTTATAACATATATTTTGTCAAAATTTGTAAGAGAGAAAAGATTTGAAGAAATTTGGGTTTAGAGCCAAAATACCTTGAATTGATGCTCAAAGAGTGATGAAGAAGCCTCTAGAGGTGATGTTTGATGTAAAACCGAAAGTTTTGGGGACAATTTGAGCTTGGGGCGGCGGATTTGGGTGGTTTGGGGTGGTGGCCGGACGTTTAGGTCTTAAGGTTTGGGGGTGGTGTTCGAAAAAGTGGGCTCTTTTAACGGGTTGGGGCTGTTTTAATCGCAGAGACCGGCGCCGGTTATCAGGCGTCCGGCGCCGGATGTTCCAATTAGATGCGCCCCGGACTTTCTGTTTCGGACCGGGGCCGGTTGCTTCTGACCGGCGCCGGTCTTTCCTTAAAATTTTTATATATATATATATATTTTTTTAATATCAAACATGAATAAATATGAATGTTGTTTATGTGAGTAAACATATTTACTTATAAGTGATTTTTGATCAAATATAAATAAAAAAATGAATATAACTCAAACATATTTATTCATAATTGAATTTTTTTTTTGTGTTGGGTTGCCTCCCAATTAGCGCTCAGTTTAACGTCGTAGGCCGGACGCAACGTACCTCTATTCTTCCAATTGGCATGCGGCGGTTGCCGAAGTGATATGGTACTCCATGTATGGCTTGAGCCGGTGACCATTTACAAGGAATGGTGTTTGGTCACCGTTTTGAATCATCATTGATCCGTATGGGCGGACCTCGGTGATTGTATATGGTCCTGACCATCGGGATTTGAGCTTTCCAGGGAATAATCGGAGCCGTGAGTTGAAGAGTAATACCTTTTGTCCGACATAGAACTCCCTCCGGTTAATGTTCTTGTCATGCCAAACTTTGGCCTTTTCTTTGTAGATACGGGAGTTCTCATATGCATCCCGTCGGAGCTCTTCTAGTTCATTGATTTGGAGCATTCTCTTTTCTTTCCCAAGGGTGGTATCAAGGTTCAGTTGAGAGATAGCCCAATGAGATTTATGCTCAAGTTCCACAGGGAGATGGCATGGTTTGCCATAAACAAGCCGGAAAGGGGACATACCGAGTGGGGTTTTAAAGGCCGTCCGGTATGCCCATAAGGCATCATCTAACTTTAGAGACCAATCTTTCCTTGAAGAGTTGACCGTCTTCTCAAGAATGGATTTTATTTCACGGTTGGATACCTCCACTTGACCATTAGTTTGAGGATGGTAAGTGGCACCGGTTTTGAACATGCACCCGTATTTTTTTAGGAGCCCGGCAAAATGGGTATTCTTGAAATGAGCACCATTATCACTAATGATACTTCTAGGAACCCCAAACCTTGAAAAAATGTTCCTTTTTACAAATTCTACTACCGATTTGGCCGTGTTGTCCGGTAGAGCAATGGCCTCCACCCACTTAGACACATAATCAACCGCAACAAGGATGTATTCCTTTCCATGAGATTTAGGGAAAGGGCCCATGAAGTCTATTCCCCATACATCAAATATTTCAACCACAAGAATCATGTTTTGTGGCATTTCATTCCTTCGGCTCAAATTTCCGGTGCGTTGGCAACGGTCACAAGCTAGGACAAAGCTCCTTGCATCTTTAAAGAGTGTTGGCCAAAAGAATCCACATTGGAGGATTTTAGCCGCGGTTCGGTCCGGTCCATGATGTCCTCCACAAGGAAGATTATGGCAATGATCAAGGATAGATAACATCTCCTCATTCGGAACACACCGTCGTATAATTCCATCGGCACAATGCTTGAAAAGATATGGCTCATCCCAATAGTAATGTTTGACATCATGTAAAAATTTCTTTCTTTGATGGAAAGTGAGCTCTTGGGGAAGAATTTCTTTGGCAAGATAGTTCACAAAATCTGTGAACCAAGGTAAGGGAACTCCCTTTACTTCCATGAGCTGCTCATAAGGAAAATCGTCATGAATTACCTCTATTTTCGTGGTGGTATTTGGCTCAAGACGAGAGAGGTGATCCGCTACGAGATTTTCACTTCCTTTCTTGTCCCGAATCTCAAGGTCAAACTCTTGGAGTAAAAGCACCCACCGGATTAGTCGTGGCTTAGCATCCTTTTTATTCATGAGGTACCGGATGGCGGAGTGATCGGTGTAGACAATCACCTTTTGGCCAATGAGGTAAGACCGGAATTTGTCAAAAGCATAGATGACGGCTAGGAACTCTTTCTCCGTAGTTGCATAATTGAGTTCCGCATCATGGAGTAACCTCGATGCATAGTATATGGCATGAAGTTTCTTTTCTCTTCTTTGACCAAGCACAACCCCAATGGCGTGGTCGCTAGCGTCGCACATCAATTCGAACGGTAGAGACCAATCCGGTGAAATGATTATTGGAGCCGAAGTAAGAGCTTTCTTGAGAGTGTTGAAGGCTAGTAAGCAAGATGGAGAGAAATCAAAAGTGGCATCCTTGGCAAGTAAATCACAAAGTGGTTTTGCGATTTTTGAAAAATCTTTGATGAATCGCCGGTAAAAACCGGCATGCCCCAAAAAACTTCTTATGGCTTTTACCGAATGAGGAGGTGGTAATTTTTCAATAACCTCCACCTTGGCTTGATCAACTTCGATGCCTTGAGGGGAGATTTTGTGCCCCAAGACAATGCCTTCGGTCACCATAAAGTGACATTTCTCCCAATTAAGAGCAAGATGGGTTTCTTCACATCGGACGAGCACTTTTTCAAGGTTATTTAGGCAAACATCGAATGAATTTCCAAAGACTGAAAAATCATCCATAAATACCTCCATATAATCTCCAACCATGTCCGAGAAAATAGCCATGACGCACCTTTGAAAGGTCCCCGGTGCATTGCAAAGACCAAATGGCATCCTTCGGTAAGCAAATGTCCCAAAAGGACAAGTAAAAGTTGTCTTCTCTTGATCCTCGGGTGAGATGGCTATTTGAAAATAGCCGGAAAAACCATCCAAGAAGCAATAAAATTCATGACCCGCCACTCTTTCTAGCATTTCGTCCATGAACGGTAGGGGGAAATGGTCCTTCCTTGTGCCGGCATTCAGTTTGCGGTAGTCAATGCACATTCTCCATCCGGTAACCATTCTAGTAGGAATTAGTTCATTCTTACTATTGGTTATAACGGTGATTCCTCCCTTCTTCGGGACTACTTGCACGGGACTCACGAAGTTGCTATCGGATATGGGATAGATAATACCATAGTCAAGAAGTTTGAGAACTTCCTCCTTGACTACCTCCTTCATATTTGGGTTGAGCCTCCTTTGATGTTCCACCGTTGGTTTGTGGTTTTCCTCCATGAGGATCCGATGCATGCATAGAGTTGAGCTTATACCCTTGATATCCGCCAAGGACCAAGCTATTGATGATGTGTGAGCTCTCAATACCCGGAGTAATTTCTCTTCTTGTAAAGGAGAAAGAGTAGAGGAAATTACCACGGGGTATGTAGAATTATCGCCAAGGAATGCATATTTGAGATGTACCGGTAGAGGTTTGAGAGTGGGCTTTGGAGGAGTTTGACTTGATGGTTTGAGAATAGACTTCCTTTGCCCAAGGTCTTCAAATCTTTGCCGGTAAGGTCTATGAACGACTTCTCCTTGTAAGAACATCATTTGTTGGAAAATTTCAGAATTTTCTTCTTCTTCGGAATGCCCAAGTGTGAGACATGCTTCAAGAGGGTCTTTTTGAAGTTCTTTTTCAAACATCTCCCGAGTTATAGTATCAATGATGTCAATACTAAAACACGTGGAGCTATCATGATGTTTCTTCAATGAATCCCACACATGGAATTCTTGTTCATCTTCTCCTACTCGGAATTTGACAACTCCGTTCTTCACATCAATGAGGGCGGCGACGGTGGCTAGAAATGATCTCCCAAGAATGATAGGAATTTCCATTTCTTCCATTTCCAAGATGAGAAAATCTACCGGAAAATAGAATTTTCCCACCTTAACTAGAACATCTTCCATAACTCCCAATGGATAGCGGATTGTTCTATCCGCTAATTGGAGAGCAATCGTTGTAGATTGAAGTTCCCCCACACCAAGCTTTTTAAAGAGGGAATGTGGCATGAGATTTATACTAGCTCCGAGATCACAAAGAGATTTTACCTCTCCAATTTTTCCAATAGAGCATGGGACGGTGAAACTTCCGGGATCCTTCAACTTTGGGGGGAGTTTATTTTGAAGGATTGCACTACACTCCTCCGTGAGTGCTACGGTTGCAAAGTCCGCTAGTTTCTTCTTGTTTGAGAGAATCCCCTTTAGAAATTTGGCATAAGAAGGGATTTCCGCAATAGCCTCCGCGAATGGTATGTTGATGCTTAACTTTGTAAAAATATCAAGAAATTTCTTGTATTGTTTACCATCATCCTTCTTCTTTAACCTTTGTGGATATGGGATAGGGGGAACATAATTTGCCATAGTAGGGAGTGGCGATATATGTTCCTCCAACTCCTCCTCGTCTTGTGTCGTTGGTGCTCCCTCCGGAGTTTTAGGGTCCTCCGTTTGTTTGCCACTCCGCGTTGTTATGGCCATGACGTTTTCCCTTGGATTAACTTCGGTTGTTGTGGGAAATCGCCCTTGTTCTCGAGTGCTTTTTCCTTGGGCAATTTGCCCAATTTGGACCTCCAAGTTGTGGATAGATGCCTTGGTGTATTGTTCTATGTTGTCCATGCGTTGGTGGAGTTTCCGGTTTTGATCTTCAAACCGGAGGTCAAGCTTGGTGAATTGTGAGTGGAGATTCCCAATGGATGCATCCACTCTACTATGATTCTCCTCATTTTGGGCTTTTACACTAGCCACAACATTTTGAGTGAGAGTCTTCATCATTTCCTCCATTGTTTGCTCTTTTTGCCCATGTGTAAACCCGGATGAGGGGTAAGAAGGACCTCCTTGTGGTTTACCTTGGTTAAACCTTTGTTGATTGTTGGAATAGTTGTTGCCTCCTTGGTACCCCCTATTCCCGTAAGAGTTCATATAATTCACGTCTTCAAGAGTTTGAGGTGAATTACCTTCCGGTTGTGCAATATTCTCCACACTTGCTACTTGACTAGCTCCTCCAATCACGGCTTGAAGAGCCGTGTGAATAGAGGCTTGAAGATCTTTGTGCATAGCTTGTTGAAAATCAGCAAACCGCTTGTCCAATTCATGAGCTATGGACACCTCACTCACACCGGCTAATTTGACATCTCCTCCTTGTAGTTGAGGATTGGAAGCAATGGATTCAAGGATTCTCAAAGCCTCCGTTTCAGTTTTGTTGCCAATATAGCCCTCCGCACGGTTATCTACAATGGCTTGACATGAAGAGTTCAAACCATTGTAGAACGTATCAATTTGAAGATCAAGAGGAATGCGGTGATGTGGGCATTCCTTCAACAAGGCTTTGAAACGCCTCCATGCGTCTTGGAATAGTTCTCCAACTTGTTGTTTGAAGTTGAAGATTCGTTGCCTTAGCTCTTGAGTCATCGTGGGTGTATAATACTTGGAAATGAAAGCATTATAGATACCTTCCCACGTTGTGAAAGTTGCCGGTGTTTGCTCCAAGAACCATCCCCTTGCTCCCCCTTTCAGGGTATAGGGAAAGCTTTTGAGTTTAAGATCATCCTCGGTGAGACCATGCCTAGGGATTCCTTGGATGAATCCATAGAACTCGGTGATGAAGTTTAGTGGATTCTCCCCCGGAAGGCCATGAAATTGAGGCATAGCATTGAAGTAGCTATTTTTCATTTCATAGTCCCGAGCCGCCTCGCTTAGGACAATGCATGAGGGAGTGGCGGCAACCACGGGCCTCTTCCTTTCATTGAGTGTTGGCATCATCTTTGCCTTTCTTTCCTTCCGGTTGTGTTTGAGAGTTCTTTCTATTTCAAGATCAAGAGGTTCAAGATGTTTAGAACCTTGACTTCTCAAATGCATTCAAACACAAAGGATAGTCTACACACATGAAATGAAAAGTACCCAAGAACAAGTGAAAAGCAATGGGAAATAAAAATTTCAGGATTTTGTTTGGTTGTTTTAACTCTATAATAACAAGCCGTATTTCCCCGGCAACGGCGCCAAAAACTTGACCGGGCTGAACTTGCAAGTATACAAGTGCCGATATAGTAATAAAATACCGGTAAATACCGGGTCGATCCACAGGGAAATGGTTGTTATTATAAAGTCGAATATTGAATGCAAGGAATGTAAATGATATATTTTTTTTCAGGAACTTTGCTCTTTGAGATTGGTTTAAACAAGAATGAGAATTACTAAGGCAATCGGGATTCACCTAAATGCTTTAATAGTTATTTAATAATAGTTCTTCTCCAATAATTATGAATACGATGTCGCTAATATATTCTCAACTCCGGTTAAGGCAGCGAGAGCGTGGTTTTCGTTACGTGTAAGTCCCATTACGGCTCACATTCATCTACCGAAAACCCCGTTGAATATCAAGACATCACACCCGTATCATATAAGACCGGATATATTTCTATTCTCGGTGCTATATATGTTTATCCTTTAGTGTTCATAGTTTAGACTTCAACGTTAATTGCAAGCATAAACTAAATTTAACATACTTCTATGTTGTACACCATAGTCATAAACAATCAAAATATAAAGGATAAATCACAATTTATTGGTTTAGAACTTTTATCAAACATCTAGTGTGCATAGAGGTTCATCCCTAGCCTTAGCTAAGAAATTAGCCTCTAATGCTCATATTAATCACAATACAATATTGAAATGTAATGGAACATGAAATTACAAAGGAAATAATACCTAAACACCAATGATTTCGGAGGTTGAAGTTTCCTCCTCAAGAACTTGAAGAAAATACCAAGAACAAAAATATAAAAGCTATGATTTAATCTATGGAATGGGATGTCATTGCTTGATGAATTAAGGGCTTTATATAGGCTAAAGAATGGCATCTTTTAGTCTATTCAAGCCTAACAATCGGGTATGGAAGCAATATTTGATCAGATATGGAGGAAGATGGTTTTTTCCCATCAGAAATCTTCTGCACGTCGGACTGTTTTAGCAAAAAATCGGAACAACCGGCGCCGGTTATAGCATGTCCGGCGCCGGTTGGTTGCAAAAATGCCCCGGTTGTGCTGCGCCGGTTGGAAACAGGCCCGATTTGGGCAAAAAATCCTGACGACCGGCGCCGGTCATGGGGCATCCGGCGCCGGTCCTAGCGCCCAAACTTGTACTTTGCTTCTTTTCTTCGTTTGATGCCCGAAAATTGATCCCGAAGTGCCGGTTTTCGATCCCTTTTGATTTTTGACCCTATTTTCATTGCTCCATGTCGTATTTCATGTTTCCGCTAACTCGAGAATATTTATCTGTTTTTGCTTCACATTTTTGTACAGATAAATGTAATTACTTTTGTAAAACATAAGTAATTATTGTGCTTATCATTCAGCTCGTCCATCCCTCCCAGGGTGGCGACGAACGTCTTATGCATCACGATCGGCCCCTCAGCGCCATCGTGTCCTGATTCACGGTTCAGATCGCCCATTCCCTCTAGGATGGCGACGACCGTCTTATGCAGTACGATCGGCCCCTCAGCGCCATCGTACCCAGCTCACGTTCAGCTCGTCCATCCCTTCCAGGGTGGCGACGAACGTCTTATGCATCACGATCGGCCCCTCAGCGCCATCGTGTCCTGATTCACGGTTCGGATCGCCCATTCCCTCCAGGATGGCGACGACCGTCTTATGCAGTACGATCGACCCCTCAGCGCCATCGTACCCAGCTCACGTTCAGCTCGTCCATCCCCCCAGGATGGCGACGATTGTCTTATGCATCACGATCGGCCTCTCAGCGCCATCGTGTCTCTTTCACGTTCGGATCGCGCATCTCTTCCAGGATGGCGACGAACGTCTTATGCAGTACGATCGGCCCCTCAGCGCCATCGTACCCAGCTCACGTTCAGCTCGTCCATCCCCCCAGGATGGCGACGACCGTCTTATGCATCACGATCGGCCTCTCAGCGCCATCGTGTCTCTTTCACGTTCGGATCGCGCATCTCTTCCAGGATGGCGACGAACGTCTTATGCAGTGCGATCGGCCCCTCAGCGCCATCGTACCTGGCCTCACGGTTCGGCTCGCACATTCCCTTCAGGATGGCGACGACCGTCTTATGCAGCACGTCTGCTTCTCGGCGCTGACATGCCCGGTTTATCGATGAGAGCCACCGCTTTCTATCACATCTCACATTCCTTCTCTCATACATTGCACCCATACATTACATGCATTCATGCATTCATGCATCATACCTCATACATTCATACATACACGCGTGCATCATGTTTTGACAGTACCGCGACGTCGGTTTATAGATGCATGGACCTCTAAGCTTCTCCGATTGGAAAGCTCGAGTCAGAGTGCTTTACTCCCGCCTGATGCATTCAGGCGGAGTGTGCCCGTGGAGGAGCACCCTTCGCCCGACCCTGTCGGGAAGGGGGGTGCCTCACTGGTAGATTACGTTCAGGAGTGCAGACACTCACTCATATATGATGATTATGTGAAGACACAGTTTCCAGCAAGACAGAGGAAGGGCGCAGGCAGAGTATATTTTCTCGAGCAGATTCGCGAGCTCACTACTCAAGAAACTGGGGGACTTGTGTTGGGATATATTATCCCGGCCTATTACTGTTCAGGAGCCCAAGACATTACTCACTACGGAGCCCGAGCAGCTAGGCCCATTTCGGCCCATCCGGCCCACTTTAGCCATTTCGGCCCGCTTCGGCCCACGCGGCCCGTTAGGGTGGAGAGCATCCCCTCCCCCTATTCTCTATAAATATGGGAGCTTCCCTCCATATTATGGACCCTTTTTAGCTCTTCTTCCTCCTTTCTTTTAGACTTAGCTCAAATACCCCATGAATGGGAGCTTGTACAATGTAATGGTGAGGAGAGTCCTAATGAGAATTGAGAGGGCTTGGACATTAGCCTAAAAAGTCCCGTGGTTTTCTCCCTTTCGGGTTTCCACGTAAAAACTGAGTTGTTCATACACATTTATACATATATTTACTATATCGTGTTGGATTAAACTCAACAATTAGATTTATGTTATTTTATGAAATCATTTATTTAATTAGATTTATTAGGATATCATATTTGAATTTGTTTTTATATTGAACAAGAAATTGTGATCTTAATCGCATAAAAAATGAGCAACGGCTGGAAATTGGGGGAGCCCCAATTGGAATTACGACAGTATAAACCCAACTCATAAGTATTTTCAGGATAATATTCACTCACACTATAAATTGGAATTACGACAATATAAATCCAGCCCTTAAATATTTCCAGGATAATATTCACTCACAACATAGCATGTTTTTGTTAACGTCAAAAGAAGAAAGAGTAGATAAATCTATCAACAATGATGGATCACCATCAAATTGCAAACTCAAGTTACAAATCGATCAAATTACCAATGTTTACAAATAAGTGTTTGAAAATGTGTAGGCGCTACTACAATCTCATTGTAATATTTATTTCTTCTTATTTTAAAACATAATTTACATCGATTCTGATTTCTAAATATCTTTTCTTTAATTATAACTTTTTATTATATATTAAATCTATACTCTTTGGATACATTTTACTAATTAATTATATTAATAACTTTTGATAATAAATTAACTAATAATATTAACAAATCATAAAATATAATTGTTATTTAATTTATGTTCCGTGCATCGCACGGGTGAAAATCTAGTTGTTGTATATGAAGAGTTGATGCATGATTGATTGAACTATGAGTAATTGGAGCATGATTACTTGATATATTTGAGATGTTATTTTAGGCGATTTAGTGATGAAATAATAAAAATGATTTATTAATCAATATTTAATTGCATTGACATTATGATTAGTAAAGTCAATATAGAATGAAGTGAGAATGAGTCATGACATAGCCGCCATGTTCGTTTCAAAGGGAAAGACAATTTGAACTAAGAATAACTCGGGTGGTACTAGGTGACTAGCCCGAGGTTGTAGTATGAACATTTATAGAATTGATCCTAAGGTTAGGATTGTGATGCTTCGTGACTAGGGTATTCATTTGAGATAGCCTTGGATGATTTAATTGATATATTGATCCTAGGATTGGATTGTTGATGTCATTACCCAGGTGGTCTTTAGCATACCCGTAATTAATTGTTGGTGTAACACCGGACCCGAATTTTACCTGGATAATTTTTTTTGTTAAGTACAGAGTTATAGAAAGTAAATCAAGACTAAGAATAGTCTTGTTTGATGAGAAAGATAAAATTCTTGTCTTAAATTAATAAAAGATTATTAATCAGACGTGGGACCCACATAGAGGAGTAGGTGTAAAACCACCTCCGAAAATGTTCACTTATAACGTTGGGTAAATTAGACTTGACACCTTGATAAAAGGTGCGGTAAATTTATTTTTACTGATTAACATTTATCGTGTAGTAAAGCTACACGTAGGACCCACATCGGGAGCGGGGACAACCCGTGACATTCAAAGTGTATAAGATACTAATGTTGACCTAAATGATACAATTATGATAGTGGGTATGGGTCGTGGACCCCAGTGATATAAAGAACGACAACTAGGCGGCCAAGTGGGCCGGAGTCACTAATCGATAATTGTGCATCCTTAATTAACGGACTGATAATAATTCGGAGGACTACGAATTAATATAGATATTTTGAGACCCAAGTAATGAGACGATAAATATTGATTAATTTGACATTTAGAGGAGGGTATTTTTGAAGGACCCTACCTTGGAGATATTTTTGCATGTGAATCAAACAAATAAGATTTTATCTGTTCATACAATCCGGACCACTTCAAAAGAAGTGTAAATTTTTATTAAAGTGTCACAGAATATGAAACCACATGTTAAGTCACGAGAAAGGACGAGTGGATTTTTTAGGCAACGCGTTCTCATTTTTACTGTTACTTGAACAGTAAAATACACATTGGGCCCACACATGGGCGGGATCATCCGATATTACCGGGACCACATATTACATTCATCTTGGTCTAGATGACATTTATATGATGGTTTATATTCCTGTTTAGCCATAGGGTTGGCCGATTGATCAAATGCGGTCAATTACTGGTATAGGTAATTAAACAGATAACAGCCCAAAATAAATTCCGGAGACTACGAAATTAAAGTTGGGTAATGTATATTCATTCTAGAGGCCAATATTAATCGGAAGAATGATATATATTTTATTTGACCCAATGAAATAAAATTTAATTAAAACAGTCCGGAAAATACAACTTTCGGGGTCGAATGTACACTTCGGGGCACAAAGGGATGACCTCCCACATGAGTGGGGGCCACCCCACGAAATTATCCACCAAATATTTGAATTTGGAGCTGCAAACACATGTGAGGAGGCTTGATGTGGGTGAAGGGATGGATGGGACACAATTGATAGGTGGAGGGACCCTCCTCCACATTATTTTGAGGTGTGGAATCATCCTCCCACACACCCACCTCATCATAATTTCGGCCAGCACACTAAGGAAAGAGATGAGAGCCTCTACAATTCATCATCTTCCATTGTTGAAGCAAGCTCAAACCAAGGAAGGTCCAAGGAAGAAGAAAGAGTGAGAAAGAAGAGAAAAACCTTGATTAATTAAGGTAAGGGAAAACTGTCAAATAGACCCCTGTAGTATACTGAAAAAGTCAATTAAGTCCTTCTACTTTAAAATCAATCAATTGGGTCCTCCAACTTTTAATAACATTCAATTCAGCAATTCAGCCTGTAAACAATCGGTTTCCCGGTCAATCCCATAAGTGCATAGTCCCTTTGAAACAATGCTTGACTTTCCAGTTTCACTACCGAAATGTTGAGATTTCATCAGCTCACATGTCCTTCGTTGCCCCCCACCACCACCACTGTAGGCATGAGTGTCGTTGAAGCTAATTTGGATGGTGTAGAGGTTGGGGAAACAGCAGGACAACATTCACAGCCCAACAATTAGAAATGTATGCATAGCTCGTTTTTTCACCGGAGTACATCACCGTCAACGGACACCGGCTGTCTTCCCCGTTCGCAGTACAACAACGACCCTCATTCAGTCGTAAGAAGAGTATTCATATGCATCATAACAACAATAAAAATGTTAATGAAACTCATACTTTGTATATAACAGTGTGCATAGTAAACGATATATAGAAAAAGAGAAATCAATGGACGAGGTAGAAGAATGGATGCAGGATGCGAAATCTGTCAGCTTTAAGGGATGAAGATTTTATAGAGTGGAAAAGAATTTCTTACCTTAATCGTGACACTCTTACATTCAATTTCAAAATCGATTTGAGAGACATGGATATGGTCTTCTCAATTTTAGCGAAGTGGGCTTCCCAATTTCAGATTGATTCCACATGTCATCTGAAAATACTCCGATCTTCTAGCCTTCATCAACGCCTAAGGTCCACCACGGAAGAAGAGAGAATCAACATCTTCATCAATGATTTCCGAAATGCCTTTGAAAGAAAAAGAAAGGAAAGAAGGAAAAACGAAGAAGAAGAGTGAAGAAACGAAGAAGAATTGAAAAGGGATAAATAGTGGAGATCAGAGGGAGGAGCGAATTCGCCGGAATTTGGATTTTTATGGCAGTCGGGCTTGGAGCAATGACGACGAACAGAGCTGCACATCCAACTGACATGGTCACTATGAAGATGAACGGAGAAGCAGAGCGTAGGGAAGAAAGTTCAAGAAACAATGAAACAAAATGATAAATAAAAAACGAAAAAAAAGAGTAACCATTTGTACTACCACGTGTGTATGTGACCGGCTAACCTGATGTTTACCTGATAAAAAGCCCATTTGATCTTTTTTTAAAAGTTTGAGGACCCAATTGATTGATTTGAAAGTAGAAGGACTTAATTGACTTTTTCAATATAGTACGAGGTCTTATTTGACAGTTTTCCCTTAAAGGTAATGATCTCATTAACATTTCATCCTTCATTTAATCTCATAAGATTTTATAATCATATGATAAACTCATAAACTTGTTCTACACTCCTAAGAGGTGTAGAATGAGGGCTTCAAAGGATAGTTTTAACCATGAACAGAGTTATGACCGCAGTAAGACCGGTTCGCCGGAAAACAACTTTTTAGAGGTTATTTGTGTTGATATAGATTTTGTGATGTTAAAACCTTGTTAGGAACTTGTCGAAGGTGTTCCTATAGATTCCACGGAGTTGGAAGAGTCGCCGGAGTTATCGCCGGAGTTCAACAAAGTTCGCCGGAGTTTCGCCGGAGTTCAACCGAGAAGAGTAGAACGTATTAAAGCTCATTCGAGGTGAGTGGACGACTACGTGTCTTGTAACTCTTGAGTCAAACATGGGATTACCTAAATAAAATCATAATCATGATTTGAGAAATGATTAAATGGATTAAAATGCATGATTAGTCATGGTGAATATGAAATATGAAAGTATTATATGGTTAATGAATAAGAGATTAATTTGTGGATTAATCATGGATATATTATTGTCAAATGTATAAAAATGCATACTTGGACTATGTATGAGACTAACTAGGTTAATCTAGTATGTGAGTATGTATAAAAATGTTTAAAAGTGTTTAAACATGTGATTAACCATATTGATTATAAATTAAGTGAAAGTGGCATGATTAATGAGTAAAGAATTACTAATATTATTGATGAAGAATAATCATGAACGATTACTTGGGAAAAGACTAAGGAAATTCAAGATGATATTCTTGTGAAGGATTTAAGTATTAAATCATGCAAGCCACTAAAGTAAAATCTAGTTTATGAGAAATAAACTAGGGAATTATACAAGGTATAATTAACTAATATAAATGTTTTGTTGGCTCATATGAGAAATGACTAAAGTAATTCATGTACTATTCTTGTGAAGAATTAAGAAATGCGTAAGTATACATGTTACTAAAATGAACTAGTTTATGAGAAATAAACTAGGGTAATATACAAAAACGATTAACTAGTATCAATGACTTAGTTAATAATTTTGTGAATATAATATTCTAATTAAATGATGAACCATGAATGGCTCATTTTGTGAGGTGATTAAAGGTAATTCAAGGTGATATCCTTGTGAGGAATAAAAAAGTGCTTAATCATGCAAGTTATCAAGGTGAACTAGTTTATGGAAAATAAACTAGAATAATGTACATGGAAATGATTGGAAATACTTATATACGGAGTATATAATATAAGAGATGGTTGAATGGCCAAAATAGCATTTATTGATTGTCTTAGACATATATTGTGTAAAAATTTCGAGCCAAACGGAGCAAGTTTCGGGGGTCAACTCGGAGGTCAACAGGCCGTTGACCCAAAATTCCGGACATACCCGGCGCCGGGTATAGGGCATACCCGGGGCCGGGTAAGCTGCTACCTCCGATTTCCGTTTTCGCCAAAAACGCGTATCGGGGCCTGAATTGAGGGGGGGATTAACCCCAACCATCCTATATATAAATATTTTGCATGGAATTGCATGAAATATGATGTTTAAAATGCCAAGGCTTGGAATACGGTTCAAAAGCTAAGACTTGGACTAGTCGTTAGTAAAGAAATTATAGACCACAACCGGGCGAGGTACGTGGTAGATTATACATGGCGGGTGAATACTCGGGACCAAGCAAGGTTGTATAATACTCTATAGGACCAAGAGGAGTCCTCTACACTCAACGTTAACAAGGGCCCGTGTAGTCCTTGAGATGTGTTAACCTCCAGTAAATTACACATAGGTAACAAGGGCAAGTGAAGTCCTCGAGGTGTGTAAACCTCCATCAAATTGCATATAGGTAACAAGGGCAAGTGTAGTCCTTGAGGTGTGTTAACCTCCATCAAAGTGCATATAGGTAACAAGGGCAAGTGTAGTCCTTGAGGTGTGTTTAACCTCCATCAACTTACACATAGGTTACAAGGGCAAATGCAGTCCTTGAGGTGTGTTAACCTCCATCAAATTGCATATAGGTAACAAGGGCCCGTGTAGTCCTTGAGGTGTGGTATCTTCCAGCAAATTACACATAGGTAACAAGGGCAAATGTAGTCCTTGAGGTGTGTTAATCTCCATCAAATTACACATAGGATGAGGGTGTATGCGTACTCCTCAAGGCGGGGTTAACCCGGAAATGAAAACTATGATGGTAAGGACAGATAGTCCTTGCGGTAGGTGAACCTCAAGGTAATGATTTTAAATGATTAAACGTGCTTGATCGGGAACTAGTTTCCGATAGGATATTTTCCTTGGTCTAGGAATTGATTTAAACCATGTCCGTGATATGGGAGCCTGAAGGGCCCCCACAATAATTATATTTTGATATCGGGTGAGTTAGCCTGCAGGTGACTCTACTCGTGGGTAAGACATGGGAATGGTGAATTTAATGAGGCTGTTACGCCTAAATGATTTGAAAGACAAATGGGCCCACGGGCCGGATATTTTACTCATATGTATATATGTATATATTTTGTTTTGAAAAGGGGTAGCTAAGAGTTAAGCCCATAATTATACTATCACCCTATTTTGAGGGTCTCACGTGAGAAACGTTAGTTACATTACATACAGTTTGCCCTTGCCAGTACTTTTCTGTAGTACTGATCCTTCGAGGGAACCACCCTTTCAGGTTGAAGCTAGAGCTTACTTCCTGCACCCGTTGCTCGGGAGATCGATGGAGAGAAGATGTGGTTCATGTTTCCTCTCGTTCTATTTCTAAATAATTAAATAATGCTCATGGAACTATTTTGACTTATAAATTAATGGAGCCTGCGAGCTCTTGTTTTACCCTTGTGTGGGTTCTTATTAAACACTTATATTCCGCTATGTGTTTAATTGTATGTTGATGTTGTTATGCATGTTTACTAATCGGTTTTTGGCATATGTATCTATCGGACGTCTTGTGCAATTCGGTAAGGATGAACTGCAGTTATTCTTATTGGGTTGTACGACAGTTATCCACGTGGCACAGATGCGGTCTGTGGCGTGATAGTTTGGTTGGAAGCAAGGGTCATGGCTCGGATCTAGTCTAAGGATAGATACCCGACCACATGGACTTGCTAATGTATAGATGAGGGATATGGGTCGGCCGAGTCTAAGGATCGTGCTGGACTGCATGGGCCCATAATAGAATAGATGTAAGGACCATGGCCCTGCTCGACTCTAGAGAGCGAGTTGGATAGCATGGACTTACGGCGTGATCACATATAAGGGTGGAATCCGAATCAAAGACCTAAAAAGGCTTTGACAGCGGTAACACATAAGATAGGACCCCGAATGGGTCTTACATTCCTACGGGAACAGGGTATGAGTCCAGGGGCAGGATGCTGGACTCTGACCGAGTGCCCTGCGGGGACTTGGGTAGCGGTGACAGGTCTTGTATGATTGATGTGACCTTTGAGTTGAATTATATGAATTATTAATGTAATGAATTATCGCATGGTGATACGAATTGTATTGTTAAATACAAATGGGGAAATAAATTACCGCGTGGCGATGCAAAGGGTTTGTGACAAATACAAATGGGCTTATGGGCCGATTATTTGACTTTATATACTTATGTATGATTTGAAAGGGGTAACTATGAGTTATGTCCTAGAATACGATATCACCCTATGTTGAGGGTCTTAAGGATTGAAACATTAATTATATGCAGTATAGTTGTCATTGTACTTTTCAAATGCTTCAAAGTACTGACCTTCCCTTCACGGGGAGGCCACCTCACAGTTTTCAGGTAGAAGCTAGAGTTTGCTTCCTGTGCCCGTTGCTTCGGGAGTTCTTGGAGAGAAGACGTGGTTCGTGCTTCCTCCGTTCTATTTTCAAAACAATTACAATAATAATGCTCATGGATAATATTTTCTAATAAACTATTTGAGGGCTTGTATGCCTAAGGTTGCCAAGTGTGGCTTTAACACTTGTAGTATTGTTTCCGCTGCTTTAATAAATATTTTACATTATGTTTGTTTATGGATGTACTATGTGTGAATGATATTCTAGACGCCTTGTATAGTATGGATGTGTTAGACTGCGGTTGATGATAAGTCCGTATTTAGACACGTATTTGATGCGTGTTGGGATTGGATTTTGATGGTTTTCCTAGATTTAAGTTGTTGCAAGTCTTAATTTTAGCTCAAGTTATGTTTAACATGCGTTGGTTCAAGTTTTGTTGCATTTGGAGTCAAAATGAGGAATTTAGAGTTGAACATCGGCACTTGAGGAGCAATCGGGATGATTCGAGATGCATTCGAGAGTGGATTGAGAGCTTTGGAGGTCACCGGGAGGTTCACGATGAAGATTTGATGACAAAAGAGCTCTAGGATTGGCTATGGGATCAAAAGAAGATGAATGAAGCTGGAAAATGACGATCAGGATGACCTTTGGTCAATCGTTCAAGCATATCTCTTTGTATAAGCATCCAATGTACACGATTCAAGTTCCATATGAAAGCCAACTTCAAGGGCTACAAATCATATGAAGACATCATTCCGAGAATCTGAGAGGATCAAGGTGAAAACAGATGATGAAGTCAGATGATCTCTGTTGCGATTTCAGAAAGACACCTTCCACCATTTTAGTCATATCTCTTGATTGGGTGATTCAAATCACATTCGGCAAATTGGGGTGGATAGAGGACTTCATTATCTACAACTTTCATGAAGGAAGTTTTGTCAAATTCGGAATAGAAAAAAGGCTGAAGAGCACGGACGCACGATCGTGCGTAAAAGGACGCACGATCGTGCGTAAGAGCCAACAACGCGGCAACTAATCTGCCTGCTACGCACGATCGTGCGTGGCAAGGTACGCACGATCGTGCGTACACCCGAGACGCGGATTTCAGCCCTTTTTTAGTCCCAGTTCAGCCCAAACTCATCTGTTTTCTATAAATAAGACCCCCATACCCATATTTTGACGTTACGAACATTACGGAGAGGCCTAGGGACGAATTTAACACCGTTTTTACGCTATTTTCTTCCAAGACCCTGGGATTATTTGTAAGTTCATCTTTTTAATTAATGACAATTTATTCTATTCATCTCAATTCTGTTGATTCTTCAATTATGAATTGTGAGTAGTTTAATTAGGGATTTGGGGTTGATGAAGGGGTTAATCATGATGTATGGCTAGATTCTTTTCGGTTTAATTGCATGAATGCCGTTTAATTTGTGTTTGAATAATTTAATTGATATCTCTTGTAACCTAGACTGCAGCTAGAATTACAATTGCATGTAGAATGAATTAAGAGAGATCTAATTTGTTCTAGGACACATTCACACACACTTAATCGTTCGCTAAGAGATTAGTAGCGATTAAGGGGCCGTAAGCTCGCTCGTTTTGGCAATAATTTAGGATCTTGTCGCATGAGAGATCAGCCTGGACTCCTAAATTATTGTACTCTTCGCCGTGAGAGCGGTAAGAACTTAGTAATGATTAGCCAGGCTCAATTAAATTAAATTCATGTAATTAGGCCTGTTCTGCCATAAATCTGGTTAACCCCGGAATCGATCCCTGTTCCCTTCGTCATTAATTAGAAAGAACCCCCTAGTTTAATTGTTCGCATTAGTTTTATTTTCCAAACCAACCAATCTCGCACGACGCTTTTATTTTGTTTTCTTTTTAATCGCTGAATTTAATTAATTCTTGATTCCCTTTTGTCCGTCCCTGTGGAGACGATACTCGTACTTACACCACTACATTACAATCTTTTTAAGTGCGAGAAAACACACATCAGTTTTTGGCGCCGTTGCCGGGGACGGTGTCGGTTTTAAGGGTTAATTAATTTCAGCGAGATTTTTTTTTTAATTAGTTTTCTTTTAGTTTTTCCGTAGGATTTTTTTTTTTCTGTGCTAACCTTTCAGGTATTTTTCAAAGAGGCATGAGATGAACCTATTCAGCCAAATTCCTGGAGGAATTCCTTACCCTCAAACCTCCATGGAATATTCACCATATACGTCATACCCTCCTTACACTCCTCCTCCTCCTCCTCAATATTACTCACCTCATCAAAATTACTCTCCTACACCACAAAATATTCAGCCTTCTTATCCATACACTCCAACCACACAACTCTTTCATTCTGATTTTTACTATCCTTCATCACATTACCCTTGGGTAAGCGTAAGACGAGGCTCCATTCTTGAATTTATGCTTCTAAATAAAACGCCTGAGGAAATATCTGAATGTTTTAAGGATAGCATTTGTTCTTTCTGTGGAGGAGATCACCATTTATGTCTTTGCCCCATCAAACCTCTATATGACCATCCTTTCCAGGAAACTGCATACCCCACTTCTTCCTCCCCACAATTTACGAACACAAATGTTTCAATCACTCCTACGTCTTTGCCGAGCTATGAACCACAGGATGAAGTGGAAGAGATAATTTCAGAGAAGCTGTCTCACCTGGAAGAAACACTCAAGCAATTCATGCAAGAAATTGAGGCGAGCATGGCAATTCAACAGCAAGCAAACACAAGGAGGCAGAACATGGAGAATCAATTAGGGCAGATTAGAAAGGCTTTATCTGAGGAGTCCGAGAGATCTTATCCTAGCGACACAGACGCTCAACCCGAGGAGACCAATATGGATGATCACGTGAGCGAGTCAGACTATGATAGTGGGAACATGATGGATGATACACTTCTTGATGCCTTTGAAGACCCACCTATGGTTGAAGATGATGAAGAAGATAGTAGTGTTAAGTTGTTTTTCCAAGAATACAGGAAAAAGTTTCAAACGGTACAAGTTGTAACTGATGAAGTCACTGATCACTGTGATTTTCATACAGAAACTCCCCAGCCATTTGATTTACCATTAGTCTCAGCACCTGAGGAGGGAAAGGAGAAGATCAGTCTTGATGATTGTGCTACTGAGGTAGGTTTGGGTACTGAAGATGAGTTGGGAAAAGATGATCACATGCTCCAAGAGAGTGGGGGCGAGGTAGATGATGTCCATAATGAAGAAGTTCCGCTCCACAAGCAAGAATTCCCTTCTTGTACACATGCACGGGTCCACTCTTACGTGGTTTCAGATTTGGATTTCTTTGACCCATTCCTTGGTGATGATATTTCTTTGTGTGTGGAGAATGATCACAACTGCTTGGAGGATATTAATAAGAAGAGTGACGAAACGAATTGGGATGCATTCATGGAGAGTGATACAGAGTTTGGAGGAGAGGTTGCGAATGTTCATGTTGTTTGTGGAGAAGAAAAAGACTTTTCTATGGTGCACTTCGATCACGGTGTTGCTCCTAATCTTTGCTTCGAGACATCTTTTGAGCTTCCGGTGATACCTAGAGTAATCAAAGTTCTCACTCATGTTTCCTATCCACCTGAAGAGGATGAGAGTTTCATCCTTCACTTTTGTGCTGCTGATGAGGATTATGAAGACCATGTGCTGCCTACGCATATTCGAGAATTTAAGAATCTGCGCCACCTAATGGCATTTGTTGAGGGGAAGCTGGAAACGTTGATTACTAGTGCACCATTACAGTCTTTTGTATTTGAGAGCTTACGAGGTATCGTCGGGCACACGACGTTAAAAATAGCGCTTCTCGGGAGGCAACCCGAGCGTAATTCTGCTTTTGTTTTCGCTTTTGCTTTGTTTGTTGTTTGGTTGTTTTGCTTTGTGTTTTTGTTTCAGCTCAGGGTCTTGTTATAGGGATGATGTGCCGAGGATTACATTGACTCAGTTTAGTTCTGCACTGACCAACGCCTTAGGGAAGTTTCTGTGACTCTAATAATCGCCTTTTTGTAATAATTGACTTGAGTTAAGTTGAGCACGCGTGACCCTATCCTCTTTACCCCCTTGTGCATAGTGCATTTTTTGTCATCGAGGACGATGCCAAAGTTTAAGTGTGGGGGAGTGAATTGGGCATTCGGGCAGTAGTTGTTACATGTGATTATTAGAGTTAGCATGCGTAGGTGTTAGT